GTTTGTCTCAAAGAGTTGGGTTTTCAAATAGGTGGTTGTCCAAATTATGGTCCCTTCTTGGATCCCTATTGTAATACGGAACCCAATATCTAGGGTACCCAAAAAGGGACCACAATTTTGACAACCATGCATATGCTCTAACATTTCGGCATTTGACAGTTTAGAGCTAGGTACTGCGCGATTCACGAGACGAGTGTTTGCAAAAGTTGTCACACCACCTCTGGAAGCAAACGCCCTAAACCCTAAACGCTAAAAGCCCAAAACCCTAAACCCAAAACCCAAAACCCTAAACTCTAAACACCCTAAACCCCTTCCATGATGCTGCAACGCCGTACGGGCCATACATCAGGAGCTTTATGTAGGATTCCACTGTCTGCTGCCACCTTCCGTAGCGTAAGGCCTAACCCTGAACTCTAAAGTTGTATGAGTTTGGGGATTTAGGGTATAGGGTTCAGGACTGGGGTTTGGTAGGAAAAAACGGCATTTATTAGATGTGTATTATATAGGGATTATATTTCCCTATTCCCTTCGAAGAACTAGGAAGATGGTGCACGCACCCGCAAACACACAGTTCAAGACGCACGGGCTTTGGTTCCCCTTGGCTTTGGGGTAATTGTTACTTGGCCCCTTTTCCTGTTTGAGGGCACCCAGTCATACATGATTTGGGGGGCCTTCCGAGTACTTGCCAGTAAGTGAATTTCAGACTTGTGGTTTCGTTCGTCGGCCTTTGGAGCTCCCACTTTGGGTTGACAGCCAACTTTCATATGTAGTTGCTTAACTAAGTGCAATGTAACAATCTTGCGATAGGCTCTGTTGATAGTATTTGTTCCCGCAGTCAGGAAGCATCATGCAACAGAGTATATGGGTGCCGCACAAGCCCCTAAACCCTAGACCCCTTTCTATGGAAGTGTTAGACGGCACCGCAGAACACTCTGAAGACGGATTTGCTGCCGGAACTTTGGACGCAGCTGCTGCCACCTGTGGGGGCAGCGCAGCGTGTGCGGCCTTGAGCCTAAGGTTAAAACCGAGTGCCAGATACTTTGTTCCGACATGGTATACTGCTTGAACTGTGAAATGCTGTTTGAAAGACATGGTCGCTTGAAACCAGGGTAGCGTAGCGTGGACATTTCAGGTGCGATGTTCAGGAATGAGAGTAAGATATTGTTGGCCAGCAATATCATGGCGTGATTCTAAGATATTCTACGTACCTTGAATGCATTCGATCCTCTACTTTATTTCAAGTACGTAATGCTAGGAGAAGGCTTACCCTACGGGTCCAAGGACCTAAATCATAGGGTGTTAGGAGCCAAATACCATTCATTCTAGTATTTGGGCCCTAAAACGGTATTATTTGGCTCCTATATACCCCTACATAGACCCCATATATCCCTATAATATCCCCTTATAACCCCTTTGAAGGGACCCTATTATTTGGGTCCCTGGACCCTTAAGCTCTTTAAGCTTTGAGACACTGGCCCGTCGGGATGTCTGGATGATGGCATCCCAGGAAGGCCCTACTCGCAGTACCCCATAGGGTTTAGGGGTTTAGAGTTTAGGGGTTTAGGGTTTAGGGTCTAGGGAATAGGTTTTAGGGGTTTAGGGTTTAGGGAGGTATATACAGGGCACATAGGGTTTAGGGTTTAGGGCCCTAAGGTTCTAAGTACCCAATAATTAGGTCTTGGGGTTTTGGGTGATAGTAGCTATAGTACAGGCTGGGGTAAGTATATGCCTATTGAGCACTTGGATCCTTAGGGCACGTGCTCGTGTGCGTGCCACCTTTGCCAAACTACGAACCAAGCTTCCTCCAAGGGCAGGGAACAGGCGCAAGATTCAACTGAGCTCAGGGTAAACCGTACCTCTAAGACCAGGTTAGACAGAATCCTGACTATTATCCAGATCTGCTGTATTGTAAGCTATTTCCTAAAACCCAAATACACGATTTACTTCGCTTTGAGCTAAACCCTCAATCTGCCACAAGCAGCGTGCGTACATCTGGCCCAGGAATTGCCCTTGCCACGTTGAGATGATCCTCCAGGAGGGAAAATGGAAAATGAACTGGAAACTGGGATTATATAGGGTATTGTAGGGGTTATAGTCTAAACTCCTGGTGTCGCCATTGATAACCCCTAATAGTGTTCCCTATATAATCCCGTATATAAGCCCCCCACCCTCCAGGAGAAGGAAGAGGGCGTCGACAAGCCCCCTGAGGCAGCTGGTTTGGGGCTTTGGCTTAGGGATGACTTGCAGCTAAACGAAGATGGTACCCTAAACCCTAAACCCCCAAAACCCTAAACCGATGGTTCCCCAACAAAGGCCGAAGAAAAAAGGGACCACGATTTTTGTTGGTCAGCAGCGCGCCATGCGGCTTCATGTTAGTTAGTTTGCTAGCGGGTTTGTCAGGGTTAGGTTTAAGGGTCTTTATTTCATGGAGTTTTGCTGCTTCCCTGCTAGCAATGCTGGGCACTGCGGGTGTGACTAGCAGTGTCATGGTTATGCGGTTATCTTTGTCATGCTGGCATCGGAAAAGTCTCTTTTTTTTTTGGGCGAGGCAACCCTAGGGGAACAAGGACCAAAATGACAGGGCTTCAGGGCCCAAATACCATTCATATTCTAGTATTTGGGCCCTAAAACCGTATTATTTTGGGTCCTATATACCCCTATATAGACCCCATATATCCCTATATATCCCCTTATAACCCCTTTGGGCCCCAAAACCTGATTTTTTTTTAAGTCCTTGGACCCTTAGAGTAACAAAATCCCGATACGCCTTCATCTCGCAGGCTCTGTTAGCTTCCTTACTTGTTATAGGGTTTAGGGTTTAGGGTTTAGGGAGTTTAGGGTTTAGGGTTTAGGGTTTAGGGAGAGGGTTTAGGGAGTTTAGGGAGTTTAGGGTTTAGGGTTTAGGGTGGGTTTAGGGTTTAGAAGGAAACTAATATGATATTATAAGGTTATATGGGGTAGTCTAGGTTAATAGGGGTGATTATAGGGATAATGGAGAAGAGAATGGAAACTACTATATCATATCTGCGTCCCAGGACTTTTTGGGAAGAGTTTGGGAACAGAGGTAGCAGTAGCGGGTTACAGCCCGAAAGAACAGGGTTGAGGTTTAGAGTTTTAGGGTTTTAGGGCTCTAGGGTTTTAGGGTTAAGGGTTGCGCTTTGCGCGGCTCAAGTCCCATCTACTTAGAGGTTCATGGCTACTTGTAAGAGGTGGAATACCCTAAACGGTTTAGAACCCTAAAACACCCTCGACCCTGAAATACTGGGCCTGAAGAACCTAGAACGGTTTTTCTAGGGATCCAACTGGCCCAAGTTAGGTACTACTGTTGATAAATCCTTCCTCACCTTACTACACCCTTAGTAGCGTAAATCCCAAGGCAGAAGGTGCCCTAAATCACGTCCCTTGAGTCTCGAGCTCAGTAAAAAAAAGGCTCAGGGTTTTGGGTTTGGGGAGGGGTTCCTAAACCCTGACGCCCCAAAAGCATGCAACCTAAGGGTCTTTGGGGCTAGTTTTGAGGGTCTTTGGGTCACGATGTTACCTACTTTGGGGGTTTGATTAGGTAGGTGATTTTGATACAAAATGCGGAGCCCGAAACGAATTTAGTTCCTAAACCCTACATGGTATCTTCTATTATCTTTCCCGTGTATTTATGAGAAACTTCGAGTAGGGTTTAGGGTCTAGGGCCTGAGTTTCGGATCTGGGATTCTGAGCTAAGACGTCCCATACGTGTCGTGACCCGCTTTCACAGAGACTAACGAGCACTGACCATTATCAAAGTAACTGGACTTGCAGAGTAAGCTTTTCTGATGGCCCAGCTCTTGAACAAAAATGGAGAGGAGAAACCCAAGATCTCGAAAGCATAATCCCAAGACCCCAAAGCCCTAACAAGCCTTAATACCATTAGCACGTCAGGAGGAGAAGAAGCCCAAGAAGTTCACCAGGAAGCAGCTGGCAAAGCTTCGCCTGCCGGTGGGATCTCACAATTGTCTTTCTGAGTGCGGGTCTACATTGGGGACTGCAACAGAGGTTACTAAGGCGGATACTAGGAGTTTAGACAAAAGCTCATATGAGCCATGGTCTAAGCTCCTAGTATCCCCCTTTATAACCCTTATAGTGCTTCCCTATATAACCACCCTTTAAGGAGTTTAGACTTAGCTCATATGGTCAGGGTAGCGGATTGAACGTTGAGGCTAAGAGGCAGAAATTGGCTACTGCCCCCACTCATCAACAGTAACAAGGTGATTTTGGTAACCCCAAGCCCCAAAATGAGGACCCTATCATCATATGATAGTCCTGGGGTCCTAATTCTGGGGGGTTGGGGTTGCCAAACTACCCTTATTGAATGGCTGGCTAGTAATTTTGTGGTATAATTATATGCAGCCCTTGATATGACCCCTAGTATTAGACTGTTAGCGGTGGGGGCAGGACCCACGGTAGAAGTTGGACGTAATATGTTTTCATTGTTACCACGGCTACTACTTCTTTGCATTGCCGCATCATTACCGTTTTGCAAGCTTCGTTCGAAAGCTTCGTTCGAAAATTAGCGAGTGTAGGGGCTGGTGGAAAAGGATGTTCAGTCCAGGGATTTGAGCGTTGAGTGCACTTTCTGGAGAATCTTAAGTATGCAGCCAGCTGGTCCACAAGCAGGCAAAAATTTGGCTAGTTTGGTTATTGCTTTTGTCTTCCAAGTCGTCCTCCCCTTTTCTTCGTTGCATGGGGGCGGGGGATCACAAAGTTGTGGGCGTTTTTACCAGAGTCCCCGATTGGCGCAACTCCTTAAGCCATCAACATAGGTAAGATAATGGCCCAATACCCCCCTTAGAATCGCCCATATTCTATCCACTTAAGGGGGACTATAACCGAAACCCTAAGCCCTTTCCCTTTCAACCCTTTCGGATCAGTCAACGCCTCGGCATCAGCAGAAACGGGACTACGCGACGAAGGGCTATCCCAACGCCGGGTTCATTTTCGGGGAGGGCAGCTTCTGCCACTCCCGGTTCCTCAGTAGGACGCCTGTCTTGCTTGACAGAGCCAACCATCCATCCGAGATCAAAAGACGTGAATTAGCCATCCGAACAGCTAAACAGGAACATTTGGTCAACACAGTGGAACTGTATGGTCGGAGCTCACGAAACTGGATCGTGCCGCCTGCAAATCTTGCCACCCCCTTAAGTGACTGTGCGAACCACCTGAGCTTTCGGGGCAAGTCAACCTCAATCACATCGTGGGCAGCCAAACTGCCAGGAAGAAACCATTCCCGTGTTTCGCCCCTGTACTGGACCGGTTCGCATCCAATGGTTGCAACAAAGTCAGTGAAGAGCTGAAGCACGGAGATCCACCGCACTGGTGCTCTCTGCGCTGCGGTGCTACAAAAGGCCAACTTGTACCAGCGACGCACTGCGTCGACGTAGTCCGCAGGAAACCGTTGGAGCAACCTGGCGTACCCGTCGGACTCTTCTGGCAGCATGAACGTGCCTGCAGGAGGTACTGGATCAGGGTCAGGCGCAGTGGGATCCAAACAAGGTCGCTGATTCGAGTGGACCGCAATAAGAGCAACACGGCTGTGCAGACGAAGCAAGGCTCGGGCACGTACCTCCTCTCGCGCGACATCAGCTCGCAGTGCCATCCACTGTTGCCAGAAGGCCTCACCACGGTCTGTGTTGGCCGCACTTGCCGCCTCATCCGCCAAGCGGTTGTGGTGAAGCACCCATAAACTTGCCACGTCGTAGGTGTCATCATCATCATGAGCAGCGACTTTGAGGACCTGCAAGAGTCCGGGGCACTGAGAGACGACCTCTGCGAGTTCAAGCCAGAGGTCGTAGTTATATGATCCGGCTTTTGGTTGCCACGAGCCGGAAATGAGTCGTCTGAGTCGCGTAACCACACCCTGGCAGTCACTCCATATACGTGCTGGCCGGTGTGCTGTGAGTGCCCGCCGGCAGGCATGCAGTGCAGCGGAGATCTCCGCCCTGTAGGCAGTCTGCATCAACCCTTGCAAAGGCCCGGAAGCAACTACCGTAGGGGGACCTTCAACAGAACCCTGAACAACAGCCCAGGCCGCAACCCTTGTATCCGGGTTTTTTGGGTCAATGCACGAGCCATCTGTAAAGAGGTCCATGGGCCCTTCCCCGGAAAGCGGCAGCAGGCGGATGTTAACAGGGGCCAGGAGCGAGCAATAAAACTCCTGCAGCAGTGGAGATCTGCGGCCCCAGGCGTGCAAGGCTTGAAAATCATCAAGCAAAGCGAGTTCCTCGACTGGGATTTCCAATCCCATGCGTGCTTCGGAGAAGTGTGGGCATGTAAAGGCCCGGTGCCGTATGGAGTCTGCCGCTCCGCAGTAGACACAGTTAGGAGTCTCCCCCTCTTGGAAGTGGTGGAGCGCATCCTGAGTGAAGAAGGTGCCATTGCGTGCAACCCGGATGGAGGCCTTCTGAGCGGGGGGAAGGGAGGCAAGAACCCTACGAGACAAGGCAGGGTCTACCGAAACCAAACCCTGAAAGCCGGGGCGATGTTGCATCTTTGCGGCTATTCCCAGCTGCCAGGCCCAGCAAAGACGGAAGTCCAGTTCCTGCGGGCTGCAAGTCCAGAGGTCAAAGTTGCCAAAGCTATCACGGAACTTCTGGGTATCCAAGTCCCACGAGATGGCTATGTCATTGGCCCGCGCCGAGAGGATAGATGCCGGCCCGGGGATCGGGGCAACGTTCCCTGTGGCCAGATGACCCAACAGGGCGACGAAGTTCACCTGAGGTGCGTGCCGTCGCGCATCAAGGAAGGACTCTCGAATCGCCACGAATCCCGGGTCGGCAAGGGGGTATTCTACTAAGCCCAGGTGCAGCAGGGGGTTAGCTCCCGGTGCTTTGGCCCCGGTACCTCGCATGGCTCCGGATCGAAGTAGGCCGAAGTTGGATTCCCCCAGGTGGACATTAGAGACCCCATGCAATGCCCGAGGCCACGCCGCTGTCTTCAAGGCTGCTACTCTGCGGTGGTATGGAGACAAGGAAGCCTCCAGGCGGCCCCAGCGAGTCGTTCGCCTTCTGCTAAACCGGACATGGGCACCCAGCTCACGAAACTCAAGTCTGGTAGGGTGACCCAAGCTTTTGAGGGCTTTACGGTGGGCCGGGTCAGTGGACCAGAAAATAAGCTTCTTCATGTCGAGGTCGAGGTCCCACTTTTCCGCGAATGCGCTCAGGCTCCGAAAGGCTTGATCTACACAGGCAGGTGTTGGCCCAGAACAAGACCAGTTGTCGACAAATGTAGAAAGGGGGGCTTGCGGGGCATCGGCATGCATCACCTCGTGGAGGGCCAGGTTGACTAAGAGCATCCCCACGCATGAGAGAGCGCATCCCTCCGGAAAGCCAGTACATGCGTGATGCTGGTGTCCCACTGAGGACCGTACCTTAAATCTACGGGCGATGCCTACGAGCGCCCCTGTCCATCCCCGGAGTATGTCACGGTGGAGGCCTTTGCGTACTCCAATGGCCAATGCTGGTGTTCTTGGGATACAGTTAAAAGCTTTGGTCACGTCAGCTGTGAAGCCGCACAACTTGCCCCCATCTAATGTTGCCGCCTCAACCGAGGCTTGTAGCGAGTACCAAACAGTGGACGCAGAGACGCCGGGTCGGTTGCCACAAAGGCCGGCTGGGGCGATTTTGTCAAGGTAGGAAAGGCACTGTCTAGCACGGAGACTCGACCAGCAGCGGTAAATGAGGGAGAATATCGTGATTGGACGGAAGTCCCCGACCTGTGCGGCTGCAGAGCTCTTCTGTATGGCGCTTACAACCCCTTGCAAGGCAGACCGTGGCCATCGCCCTGTTGCTTCAGCGTGGTGACATATGTCGATGATCAAGCAGTTGAGATCATCCGGCATCGTTAGCAGATCCAAGCGGCTTATGCCGTCTGGGCCAGCTGAGGTGCGAGAGTGCTTATCACGGACAGTCTGGCGCCACAGAGGCAGCGTAATGGGCTCCAATTGCATGGCCTGATTGTCCGGGATGGACTGCACAGAGTCAAGGATGCCATCCCAACGGCCTGCAGAGAGGTCTTGGTGCTTGAGCCACCGCTTGGACCATGCGTCCCCAAAGGCACGAAAGATATCAGGGAGAGAACCCAAGTACCTTTCCTGCCGAACTATATCACCTGGCTTGACGTCAGGGGAGGTTGTGCCCCACAACTTGTCAGGCTCTGCGTGCGCAAGTTCAATGGGCCCTTTTGGGGTCAGCAGGGGCAGGTGCTCGCGCCAGCAGCTTTTACTTTCGGTAGTGATCGAAAATTCTTCATGATCAACCTCCTCCACCACCCCTTCGCATGTTTCGAGAAGGGTTTCCACAGACTGAGACAGGGGCTCACGGAGGTCCTTGAAAATCAGCGCAGGACTAGTACGACGTGCCTCACGGGCATCCCTGCGGAACTGCTGCTGCCGCCTCCTCTCTGAGTGGCGGATGTTGGCCTCCAGGCCGCGGAAGAGTGCACGGGCTATGGAAAGGGGTGGCGGCTCAAGCGGGATAGCAGGAGGATCCCCCACCAACTGTACAGGCCGGCTTCCCCACCAAACTGTGAAGGATGGGACAAAACCCGTTGAACTAAGGATACTAGCCCATAGGCCAGAGCGGTATTCCAGAGCTGACGTGGATGCGGACCCCTTTTCAATGTCTTGCACCAGCGCCTGAAGGCGGCGCAACTGCCGAAAGTGCTGGGCATACTGTAGGGAAGGGTGGAGGTAGGTGGGCTTGACTTCTCCCTTCCGCCCGCGCGGTATGGGAGCCCTGACCTGTCTCTTAACAACCACATCAGTCGTACATGCTCTTCCGCGGTAGAGCGGAGGTAGAGGGGCCTGTCCCTTGGAAACCCCATACTCAGACACTGCATGCTCATACTGGGCAAAGATGCCACGGCAACACGAGTCCGGGTCAACATGCGCAGGTGTGATGGGTACCCTCGACCGGACTGGGAGCGGTCCGTTCGGGACCATTGATGAAGCAAATTGAACCGGCATCCGCCAGACAAATCTGGGAATCCCCTGCTGCGGCACCCGAAGGCGAGCGTAAATTACGGCGTGGTCGGCAAATGCAAGTTCATCCACCACGGTCTCAATGAAAAGGCTCTGCAATTCAGGGCTGATCCAGCAAAAATCTTTTCTTGTCTTACCCTTACAGGTAGCTTTGGGGGCCACGCCCGTCAGGCGCTGATGCAAATCTTGGATTTCTATGAATCCCTTGCTGCGCCAAAAGGAGGCCTGTACTAGGTGGTCATATTCAACGTTGTAATCGCCACAAAGAAAGCGAGGTCCACTGCCTTCAACAACAACCCTTTGGGTCAACTCGTCAAGCAGGAAAGAGGTTTTGTGGGGGCACGTTGGAAAGCCGTAGGCCACACCCCCTAACAGCCAAAGGGGTTGAATGAAAAAGTTTACAACGTGGATGCGTCCAGTCTCATGCAGACCCTCGGGCCAGCTACACGGGGCCGATCGTGCTGGGCATGAGGCCAAGAATCCCACACCACTATATTCCCCTGAAAACGAAGAACCAGCCCTGGGCCGTACGGCTGCGCCATGGTGGAGGCGAAAGGGGCTTCTGACAGTCTGCGAACCAGCCCTGAAATGCTGAATGCCTTTGGCGGTTAAGTGTGTCTCCGACACACCCAAAACACCATTTTCAAGACTCGCCGTGACGGCAGACTTGCCATTCAGCCCGGTCGGGTTGAAGCAACCTAAGGCCACAGTGCCTGCCCGGGGTCCTGGATTTGCAGCTTCACCAAAGCGACATGCTGTTAGCAGCAGAAGGCTACACAGGTGGGACAGGTCACTAAGAACTCGCAGCAGACAGAGTCCACCGGTGTTACCTACCCCACAGGGCTTGAAGGCGGAACTGCCCAGATGTGGTAAGTGGAATCCAGGTGGGGGTGAAGCCAGGGCAGGAGAAGTCCCGAGCAACGGGCCTTGCGTCAAGCGGAGAAGTCCAACGGCACAGGGGACCCAGGCTCGTGAGCCCTGCCGCACCAGACACGAAATCCTAGCAGGAGATGAACAAGGTACAGCAACAGTATGCCGCTGGATGGGACATACCTGGCATGCATAGCAAAATGTGAGGAGCCCAAGTTGCCATAAGCCTTGCGTCACGCAACGAAAGGGCGTCGTGGTGTGCAAAACTGCAAGCAGAAGCTGGCAGGCAGAAGAAAGATTAGTGGATCCGACCCCATTGAAAAAGAGGACCCCAGACCGCGAGGCATTGGCTCGGTACTGCTCCCCTGAACAAGTGGCAATGACTCGGCGGTGCAAACGAATCCCAGTGCAAAAACCCCTACACTGGTTCCCGAACAGTGCGCTTACGGCACCCAAACTTGAAACAAGTCTATAAAAGTGTGAAGACCCGAATGGTGAAAAATGGCTCTGGCCGAGTCACTCCCGGCGGTTTCTTTTGGGGTTTAGCAACTCCTCTATGCGCATCATCTGGGTGTCGAACATGCTCTGCAGGGCTGTTTCCTGTTGTTTGACATCAGCAGCAACCTCTTCAACCCTGCCCCCCAGGGCTGAAAACTTCGTGGAGACTGATGATTCAAAGAGGCCCAAGCGCGCGTCCACCTTTGCCATAACAAGGCTTTCAACATTGGCCGCAATGGCCTCCTGGTCAACAGGCGGCGGCTGTGTCGAAGCCGGCCCCGAAGATGTGGCCGCACCAACTCGCGCCATGACGTTGCGTTCAACCTGAGTGGCGACCTTTCGCCAGTCTGCGGTTTTGCTAGAGCCGCCGGAGGCTTCTAGCGCATTGGCCCAGGGGTCATTGGCCTGCAGGGGATCAATGGCTTCCTTGCTCGCAGAGGAGGTTCGGCTTTGGAAAGACTTCAAGAAGGCCGCTGATGCAACCACAACCGGTGCACGGGAAGGGGGGGTGGTAGGCGGCCGCACTTCGGAGAGAAGGACCTCACCAAACTGTGTATGCAGTACAGGGGTCGCCGGTTGAGCATTGGCCTGAATTTTCCACCAGACACCTTGCTGAGTAGCTGGCTCGGGCTGCAATGGGCGGGCGTTCCACTTGATATCTGCAAAAAGCTTGAGGAGGGAATCCCTGCGTGTCCCATGCGGGAAAGGGCCGATGATGTAGCTACGCAAACCCTCCCTATCCAGGAAAGGTGAGGCTGGGCGGATGAGGTTGTGCATCTCGGGCTCGTCCTCCGCCAAGCAACGCACGCCATAGCGCTGGCTCACCCGCGCTAGGCCAACAATCTTGGAGTGGGATTGCCGGAGCAACAATGCCTCTGCATGACCGGCCTTCGGCACCCATACAACTCGGAAGGTTGTCGAAGGCTCGCGGGGGGTGAGCCCTCGCGGTTCCACATAGACCCCCCGGTTGCCAGAAAATGGCTGGAGCAAGTCTTCCAGAGCGAGCGGAATGCGAATGAGGATGGTAAAGACAGAGGCCAAGGCAGGGGGGCTGGCCCGGAAGTGCTCAGTGCAAAACGTACGGTTCCACGCTTCCAGTATCGCCTCGGGCTTTCCTGCACTTGTCACCCCGTGCCAAGAAGGGCACTGGCATGCCTCGCGGTCGCAGGTTTTGAGAACTGGGACGCATGCAACAACCGCTCGGAGAGGAGATTCAACCAAAGACGCCCAGTCGCCTTCCCATTCGTCACGGTATACAGAGACCCTTTGGACAACAGACTGTACCACGTCCAGGGTCGCCACTGCAGGAGTATGCTTCACCACATACTGGTCCCCCGCCTGCATAAGCAAGCCATTCAAGAGGAGTGGTTCACCCGAAGACGGGCACAAGGCATGGAAACGAACCTTCTCAGTCTGCAGTGTGGAGCCTTCGGTGTCGACAGGCCCAAGTGCAATGAGGCCAAGTGCCTCGCTGGACAGTGGACGCGGGATGCGCATGTAAGTGGCCGCTTGCTCGGGATTCACCACTACAACCCCTGCCGAGGTCGGACAGACTTCTTCAAGTCGTAGCTGTTGCAGTGGGCCTGCCGGAGAAGTGAAGACCCCGGCTGGGATGGTCACCTGCTCCGGTGTCAACACAATGTCCTCCAGCCCTGCCTTGCGATGACCTGATTTGGACTTAGCCTGTGCCAGATCCTTCTTTTCTCGGCGGGTTTTACCAACAGTGCGACCGTCACTGGCTTTTGTAGCAATGGCCGCTTCAAGCTCACTGGGCAAGACCAACTGGAAGACTGGCATCACCTGATTGGCCAGTGCCTTGATCTCTTTCCACGGTTGGGAGGAACCCATAGCTGCCTGAACCTTTGCAGGGCCTAGATGCTGGATCGCTGCTTGCGCACGGGTTGCTGCAGCATCATTGGGGACCCCTTTTGGACTTCAGCAGTGAGGCCAAACCCAGGGCGAGGAAGTCATTCAAGGCCCCTGCAGTAGTCAAGGGAAATCTCACCAGCGAATCTGTCTGCATAGATACCTCAAAGGCGGCACAAAGGCAAGCCGGAGTGTCCATGAGAAGGTGGAGGGGAGGAGGAGGGTCACCTCGAATCCTGGCAGCAAGTTCACCTATGCCGATGTGGCCACACAAACCCGGTGGTGCAGGCCTCAATGGCGCGAAATGGAATCGCGTGGAGCTGATGGACACCCCCAGCATTTTGGCCACGAGCCAGTTAGCTTCAGAGATCGGTTCTTGCAGCGATTGCCGTGCATCACTCGCCCAAGCGTGCAGGAGGCCTACAGTGCGCTTCCAATGGAATACTACCCAGTGACCGAGGCAGGGAACAGCAGATCAACTCAACATCGGCCATTGACCCAAGAACCTGGGGTCCTATCTTCTGGCGCCCCTGCCCAATTCCTTGCAACGCGGACAGCATGAGGAGGGGGTCAATGACCTGAATGGGCCGATTGGCGTTGCCCGCTATGGCTTGCAAACAGGCAACCTGGTCGTCTGCCATCCAAAGTTCCTGCCTAGACAACAGCTGCACCCGAAGGGCAGTAGGGCACACAGGTTCAAGAAAGGGAGCGACATCAGGAGGAAGCTTGGGCATGGCTGGAACACACAGTGGGGCATCGGAGGAAGGCAGAAAGAGCTTCAAACACTCACCCTGCTGGACCACGGCTGTGGCAGGCACAAGAACACCCTGCCCGGTGGTTACGGCAGTTACTTCACCATAAGTAGGCCATACTTCCTCTTGCAGAGTATGCAGCAAGAACCCTGACCTAGAAACCCGAAATTCCTGCCAGGAAGGGGATCGGCTTCCAGCCCGACACAGTTTCTTGGCTGGCGGAGACCTGATAGCCTCAGGGGGAACAGGGGATGCAGCCTGGGCTTGCAACAAGCATCAACCTGAGGTGCGGTTGATGCAGCATTAGCTTGCGTAGAGCAGGGTGCACGGCCTGGCTCCACCCCAGGTTCGGTTGCCACACGGGGCGTACCAGTCGGTGAACCCTCGGGGACTCAACTATCTAGGGGTCCTACTCGGCAACGCAGAACCTGCTACGGAATCTCCTGGCTGCAGTCGTACAACGTGGCCTGCGTCAAGAGGGGGGGAGGGGCGATAGCTGCTGCTGTCCCCATCTGTGTCCTGCTCAGTAGGGCATGGTTCAGGAGAATCATCGTGCGTAGAAGAGGTTTGCCGGTCACCATGCGCCACAACACCTGTCCTGAAAGGTATTGGCCCAGCTGTGGTCCCCAGAGGCGCGCCCAAAGCGGGCTCAACCAGACGGGCCTCACCAGGGACGTGCCTTTCCCAGGCAAGTAGGGTCCTGCCGACTCCTGGGCTGTGCATGATTCCAAACCTCCTATGCAACAGGCCTGAAGTGGAGGAGGGACTGGCATGTCTTTAGTGGGGGTAGGGTCTAAACCATCGATGCCAGAGTCAGGTTGGGGAAGGCCAGCAACCGCAGCCGCCACACGGGTTCGGGAACCTAGACCACAGGGTCCTAAGGGTGGGGGGGCGGCTTCTTTTGCATCACTCGCCACCATCTGCCCCGGCTCTGGCCAAGACCTTAGCATGAGTCTGGAACAAGATGTCTGGAGGGCCGTTGTGGATGCGAAAGAGATGGGAAGGGCGGAGGCCAGCAATCTCCGCTTTTTTTGAGCAGCCTGAGTCTTTGCTTGTGGAGGACCTGGACCGGATCGGTCGTGCACGGTATGTGGACGCCCTTGCCTCTCAGAACACTTGCAATCTGGGAGCAGCCTGCTTGAAGGGGGCTTGCGATTTGCCCGACCAAACACAGCGCCAAGCGTGCATCGTGCAAGAGGTTCACTGTTGGATCCAAGCCGCGCAACAGGGCGACTTCCTGTGCTGAGGGATAACGGTATGGGATGATTTCATCCTTGCTCGCGGACCCTTCGTCTGGAACAATGGCGGCGCAAACCCCTGCGAAAAGGGCAGTGCTCTGCAGTTGCACGGACATGGTCGGAAGAGGCACCCCAAGAGTGCAGTGCCGTTGGCATTGGCCGATTGGCTTCCAACACGAAAGAGGACAATGGCTTGACAGACGCCAGGGCGTGGAGCTCATGCGGATCAAGCCGAAGCTGCAACGAGTCAGAGAGGCCAACATTAGGACACTCCAACACATCCGCTACTGTCCTCCAGGCCCCATGCGGGCGCCAACCCTTAATCTGAAAACCTCCAAGTTCCTGAAAAGCCAGTACGCACCACCAACGGCTACGTGCTGAGGGCCATACATCCCTTAGCTCAAGGGTGACCTCATGAACAGTGAAGCCAGATTTCGATGTGAAATCTTCCAGGCACTTCCTCACATGCTCATCAGTGGCTGCAGGGGTCACACACTCAAGGACCACAAGGGGCGATTGCAAGAGCCAAGCCGCCCTGAGGGTGTTAGGGAGGGTGGCCGAACGCGGGTCCCGCCCTCCGCGACGATCTCCAAGCAAGCTGTAAGGTTGGCAAGCAACGCCTGCAGCAGTGGTCGCATGGCCAGGGAAAAGGCCCCACACCTTCTTTAGAGTGTCGTTGCTTCCAACATCACCCTGCACCACCTGTAAACCTGAGACGGCCTGTGCCACTCGTGCAGTTGGCTCCTGGAGCTCGTTCTGCGTCACAATGCGGAAGCCTGCCTGTTCAGCTCCAAGGCCTAGGGCGCCAAGCCCCGTACAATACTCCCGGACATTCAGAAGGTCACTGTAAGACAACTCCCCATGCTGAAATATCGCGGATGAAGCCTCTTGTACCAAAATGTATCCTGAAGAATCTCGCACAAGTCGAAAATCAATCAAGGAGACCCTGCAACCAACTCCCACAGTGGCACCAGGCTCAAAATGGACTCGGATTTTCCTTCCAGAAAAGGTCTCGGCTGCCACAAGTTTGAAGTCCCGAGAAGTATCCACCAAATCGAAAACCTCGGAGTATCTGCAGCTTAGGAAGCCTGCCCAGAAGTCACTTGGACAATCCATTGCGGACAAGATCTACGTGGAAAGAAACAAAGGGAAGACAATCACCCGAGCATTTGCTCGCACCGCCCCCCGCTACTGGTAGGGTCTCGGGCCAGAGCTAAACCCTAAACCCTATATTCTATCGACTGAAGGGGGGCTTCCCCCAATGGGTCCGACATCAGATGCTGGCACCTTGATCTAGGGGCCTCCAAAGGACTTAGGATTTAGAGCTCCGCGGTTTGGGTACGAGGACCCTATAAGCAACTGCGTAGGAGATCCTTTATGAGGGCAATTCCATAGAACCCTGCTTGGCAGCTCTTAATTATCCACTTGATTTGATGGTTTCCCAAAATGAGGGGACCCCAATATAGACCCCAGAATACTATCGTCCTTATTATGGAGACCCTCAAAATGGTACCCTAATTTGGGGAAATCCTGATCCCTATAATGCCCTATATAAACACAGTTTCCATTTCATTTTCCATTTTCTTTTCCATTTGATTCTCCATTATACTAGGTATCCCCAATTTTGGGAAACCCCCATATAGAGCCCGGTTATTCTCCCAATCAGGTGGGCGGTGGCCAGTGAGCAGCTCTGGCACTTTGCCGCGGTGGTTGGAGTCGAGAAAGAGCTTTGGAAGAGGGCTTCGGGTTGGGTTTAGGGTTGGGTTTCGGGTTTAGGATTTAAGGTTTAGGGTTTAGGTTTTAAGGTTCATAGAATTTAGGGTAGTTTTGGGTGCTTAGCTTCCGTTTTTAGAGTTAAGGGTAAAGCAGTTGTGTGGGCGGGGATCCTGTATGAATTTGGGGAAATGTATTCAAACCTAAACCCTAAATATTATATACTGCAAAAGGATCCTTTCTTTGTTCCTAGTGGTTTGGGTGTCGAACTATCCAGAAGTTCCGCTCCAGGCCAGGCTTCACCCCATAACATCCTTCTACGGCCCAATGTGAGCTATAGTCTAAACTCCTTAAAGGGGGCTATATAGGGCATTTTATATGGTTCCTGTTGTAAGGCTTATTTAAGGGGGATACGAGGGTTTAGACTATGGCTCATGTGGCCCAACACCCCAACCCGGCCCTTGCTTGGTACCCCTAATCTCTAAATCCCAAGCCCTAAATCCTGAACCCTGAACGCGAAACCCTGAACCTTGAACCCTAAACCCTAAACAGCGGCCCGGTTTATCGACCCCAAAACTTTCTGGGGGTTAGGGTTTAGGATTCGAAGCGATACCTGAGCTCCCAGACTTGCAGCAGCTTGAGTTAAACACGTGGTTTAGGGTTTAGGGCTTAGGGTTTAGGGCTTGGGGTTTAGGATTTAGGGCCTAGGATTTAGGGCTTCGGGTTTAGAGATAAGGGCTTAGGGTTTATGGTTCAGGATTTAGGGCTTTAGGTGTCCTCCCCCCAAACTAACATGAACCCCTCCCTCCACCAGGAGCTCATGCTTTTTCAATCGGATGCTTGTCGTCGTTGTTGTCGGGCCCCAAAAAGCTCAACCTTTTTCAAGCTTCATGTTAGTTTGCGTCACCCGGTCCGCGTGTGGTATTTAATGGTTTAGAGGTTTGGGGCTTACGGTTTTGGGGTTTTAGTGGTCTGGAGTCAAGGGGTTTAGGGTTTAGGGGTTTGGGGTTTAGAGTCGAGCGGTCGAAGGAGGACTGGTGTTTGGGAGTGACCCCTGAAATCCCCAATATTACTTAATAATTTCATGGGGCATAAAAATTTCGGAAGAGCATTTTTCACAGGGCAAGAGTACCTTCAAATGGGGCCACCTCAAAATGAATTTGGGGAATTCTGGAATTATCCATTCGTTCTTCAATTCATTCACTAAAGATAAAATAACCTCAGTTGAGTTTATATATTCAATTGTTAACGAATGTGATTTGATTAACTTCTTATTGATTTTCCATGGAGTTTCCACGGACTTTAGAGGCAACCCTATCTTATGCTTGCACTAAATCTTCCCCTACATCAAACACGTTTTCCGGCTCCAGATTTCTTAAGATTAGGGAGGGTGCGTCGTTTGATTTGATATTATGCAAGCCCTGAACCCCATGAACCTACGATACCTGGAGGACCAGGAGGACTTAGCAAGTGGATGCATCATGTGGACAGCACAGCTGGCTAAATACACGGGCCATAGTCTGAATTCCCTTGAGGGCGGGATATATAGAGGAGTATATAGGGGTTATTAAGGGAGATGCTCGGGTTTAGACTGTGGCTCACACTTCTGTAGTGGATAGAAATATATTTTCTGAGTCCCCTTGAGCGTCCAAGCAGGATACACCCCAAGACGCTCTCCTACTTGTTTAACTGGTGGTTAGTAGGGAATAAGGGAAAGGGTTTAATTAGGGTTTAGGGTTTAGGGCATACAATCCCTTTATAATGGGCTTTACCCTGCGCCCTGAAGCTTAACCCCCACACCCTTATTCCCTACGAACCCCGAGTAAGTTGTTCAGGCCCCTACATTGTGGGTTCGAGCACAAGCCACAAGAAGCGCATGCGAGAAAAAGTTATTTTTAAGCAGTTTACCAGAGTTGTCCCCACAAATACCCCAAGATGTAGGGTTCAGGGTTGAAAACCCTAAGCCGCTCTATTCCTATTTAATAGGGCCTTTCGCCCCCACATCTGTATATCATCTTACCTTCGCGTATGCAATCCTACGCCCTGAAGCCTACATCTTCGGGTCTGCCGCCACCCAGTAAAGGTTAGATGAAACCGATATGATGGTTATATCTAGCCTCTAGACCGTAAACCCTAAATCCTAAGCCCTAAGCCTTAAATCCTAAACCCTAAATCCTAAACCCCAAGCCCTAAACACAGACCTACATCCTTTTTCCCGGTTGATTCTCATGGCCGGCGGCGTGGCATCTATGCAGATTGGGACTCCTGCACCTGCCACTGCCGCCTGGCAATAACCTGAGCTTACCTGTCCGTTGGGTAACCTCTAAGCCCAATATGAACCAAAGATTTGGGTAACCTTTTAAGCCTTTGTGGGGGAATATAAGCCCAATATAGACGAAAGAGGTTCATTTCGTGAGCCCTACATGCTGGACAAATCAGTGAGAGTTTTACAAGATGTGGTGCCGTTTTTGTGGAGTCTCTATGAACAGAAGCCCTAAACCCTAAGCCTTACTGTAAACAGCATTGCACAGGTCGGAACCTGCTCTAGGCTACCTGGAGGGTCACGGGACTTAGTAAGTAGGCTAGGGTTTAGGGAAAACTTAGGGTCAGGAGGGCTTAGTACATGGGTACATAATGGGGAGAATTAGGGTTCTTATATGGTTTAGAGGGGTTATCAACCTTCTTACTAAGTGTCCCTGACCCTCCAAGTCTTCAAGTAGCGGGTTAGGATTACAAAGTGGGCCTGTTTGGTTCAAGGCTTCTCATTCGCAGCGTGTATCTCCAAGCTTGTACTTCTGGAGCAGTAGATGGGGTTTAGGGTTTGGGTTTAGGGTTTAGGGTGACTGCAATCCCGCCGACTTGGCTTCAAGAACAAATTGTCGGCTGTAAACTCCTTGCAGTGCAGTATAGATTACCCAAAGGGTCCTAAGTACCCATATGGGAAATACTACCTAGGGTTTAGGGTTTAGGGGAAATACTTACCCAAACCATAAGGAAAATTACTACTACAGAAACCATACTTTGTACCATATAGATACTTTGGACCCTTTGGGTTAGGGCTTGGGGTTCGAGGTCTAGGAAATGAGCATTCCGGGTTCGTGCTTAGGTATCCTCATGGGACACATTCCACCTGCTGTTGGAGAAAGATGAGTTCAAAGCATCTTGCTGTGGTTGTTGGTCCCAAAGTTTATGTGAGTTGACGTCAGAACTTGTGCGGCACCTACCGCCTTAGCTAGCGTGCATTCATGGCGGGCTGTGAGCGGTGGTCACCCACCAGCTCCAGCGACAGCACGTGTTCGAGTCGCTCAAATGAGGCCGGATCCCACTGGACCCTAAATGGTAGTTTCCCAAAATAGGGGAACCCCAATACACCCCCCAAAACACTATAGTCCTTGTTATGAGGACCCCCCAAAAGGTACCCCTTATTTTGGGGAACCTCCAAATGTCCTCCTTTTTCGGTGTTTCCTAAACCCTAAACCGCCCTAAAAAGTTAAAAAAAAGTGGGACGTCCAGGGTCTGATTTAAATTCCAGTTGAACGTCCCGGGTAATTAGTTAACAACTACTTCTTCCTTCAGTTGTACCAGTGGTATACGGTAATTAGTTACCAACTACTTCTTCCTTCAGTTGTACCAGTGGTATACCAGGATTTGTTTTGTAAAGCTCAGTTGTTTCAGCTGTGACTGATCTATGAGTCCAGTGCCTAGACAGGGTAGTTTTTCTTGGGACTGCCACGTATGGTCATTCTATGAGGCCCCAGCATGGACTGCCCTTCGTGCGGCTTAACAATAAATCGGAAAAACCTTTTGCGTGCCCTTCAGAAAGCCAAGCATCCCGCTGAAAGGCTGATGGTCCATATTTGAGGCCGAAACTTCCAACCTTACAAAGTAGTACAGCCTTATGGACCAGCATGGACCAGGTCACTAAGCTTTTAAAAATAACCCCTAAGCGTGAATCTGAAAGCACTTCGCCATGATTGGAATGGGTCTGCTGCAAGTCGAGTAGCCCATTTCCTCACAGTCTCAAAGCTGAGACTTAGATGGGCTTTTGAGTTTTGAGTAGCTAGCTGATTTGTAACTAACCGCCCATTCCAATTGAGGTTTAGGATGAATACAAACTATAGGGCTAGCTGTATGCCCAGACCTGCGTCCCCGGGGCGTTGGCCCTAAACCCTAAACCCTAAACCCTTAAACCATAAACCACTAAGCATCCCATCTTTGCTTTGGCCCTCTCCACCCCCAGCAGCCCCAGTGCTAATTTTATCCCCGTCTAAGCTGCTGGAACTGCTGAGCTTGCCAAGGAAATCTTATGACACTCGACAGTCCCTTTAAGTAGATAGACTATGGGGTATATGGGGATCTTATCATAATATAGCCAAAGCCATATTTGATCTACGTAAATGGGACTATAAACCCTAAACCCTGTGCATTCCCTCAGCCTCCCTCGAGCTGAATCCCATGTGCCAAAGTTATTTGAGAACCATCCCTGATATGACTCCTGGCGCTTGCCTCGCCGCCCTTCTAAGGCCCTCCCTGATGACAATAGGGTTTATAGTCCCCTGTAAGTAGATAGAATACGTCTTTGGGAATATTAAAACAAGATCCCCATATACCCATATTCTATCTACTTAAGGGGGGCTGTACGGTTTCTAACCCTAGACTCAGGATTTGGAGTCTCATCGCCCCTACTGCGTGCAGAAGCGCAAGTGTTGCTGCTGCGAGCTGCCAAGATATGCCAAATGCACTGTGTGCGGGGGGCTGAGCAAAATTCCGGGTAGCTCCCGAGGGACTGAAATGAAGTTTACATTATAGGAAACCCTATTATCGTCTATGTATCCATACTCTGGCAATTTAGGGTTAAGGGATTAGGGTTGAGGGGTTAGGGTCCGGTTCGGGACTCTAGAATTTTTGTTTAGAGCTATGCCCCAAGAGGGTGCTATCTGCGAGTGTGCTCGGATTCCTGTTTCTCAAGTGGGTAGTATTTTATTTGGGGGTATTATGATACCCAATATAGAGTAAGATTATGTCCTTCTTTTGGGTATAGTATTTTATATGAGGATTATAACCTTACCAGGTTCAACCACCAAAAAACACTACTCAAGTGGGGAACAACAACATGAACCCGGAATGAACATGGAAATCTTCTTGTAAAGACCCACATTGCCTCACCTGTTACATTCCAACAACACCGTGTATAAGTACCCACAACTAACGCCAAGCCAGAACCCAAGTCTCTAAGAGGCCCTAACAAGTCCGCGAGGTATCTTCTACCCTAAACCCTCAATCCTAAAGCCAAATCGCTGGGTCTTTTCCCATTAAGTAGACAGAATATGGGGTATATGGAGATCTTATCATGGTTTAGGGAGTCCATAGTCTACCTACTAAGGGGGATTGTACAATTTAAAGAGCTTCCTTGTCCTTTCTTCCCACGACCAACAGCTCGCGCACCGATTCTTGAGATGCAGTGAGAAACCCCGAGCAAAGCATTGGGTTTATGGCTTAGGGCGTAGGATTAGGGTTTAGGGCTTGGGGTTTAGGGTTGGGGTTTTAGGGCTTAGGGTTAGGGCTTATGGTTCAGGGCTTGGAGCTTAGAGTTTAGAGTTTAGGGTTTCGAGCCCGTTTTGTCAAGGTTCCCGAAGTTGAAATCTTGGTATCAGGGGTTTTCTTCAAGAATCCCTAAGCAAAAGATACCAAAAAGCTTAAAGCTCTGGGGTTGCGACCCTGGAGTCTTAGAAGTTAGGTGAACCCCCCACCCTGTAATAGTGGCTATAAGGGATAATAAGGATTATAGTAGGGTCCTCTCATATTCCTATAATACCACTACTACAGGGTGGGGGGTCCTCCTAACCTAGAAGTATGGTATGATCTTGGAACCATTTGGTTGCAAGGTCTCTTGGCGCTCTACATAGTCTTGATGCCCGTCATTTACCTCGTCGGCCATTTCCTGGTATATCCAGGCCTGCGCTGTGTAGTCTCAGATTGAAAGACCCAGTACAGATCCCGATACATCATAATACGGATTATGGGGGCGCCGCTAACTTCTAAATTTTGAGCCCTGTGATTGGGTTCAGGATTTTGGTTTTTGGCTTTCATGGCTCTGGAGGTGCTGGGTAGGATGCGAGGTCTTTCTGCATAGGCATAGACCTTTGAAATTTTGGGGCTTTCATCTGCCAAACTAGGAAGGGAAAATCCCAAATCGCAACCAGATGATATGCACTTCGATTTTTTGCCAGGTGCCATTCCTCCATCTAACCTCAACTGATAGTTTGTATGTAGTGCTTTCCCGGGACCGTCATTATAGACCTCAAAATACTCGAGTCCTTGTTATAGGGGCCCAAAAAGAGTACCCTGATTTTGGGAAACCCTGACCATATATCCCCTATGTACCCCCAAATAACACCCCTGGAACCTTTATAAAGGGACCTCCAATTTTGGGAAACTCCCATATAGAATAGTCTGAAGACGGCTGAGTCAAATACTTATCTAGCGCATGCAACTCCTATAGTTGCGGATATTTTTTTGCAGCAGTGCCCACTCACTTCTGTAAATGGTCAGTCCTCTAAACCCTAAACCTTAAACCACATGGCGTCGTTCGACGCTTTTTGTTGACCTGGTCGAGTTGGGCTTCGCGACCTCTCTCAACATAAAGTCTCTTGAATGGAGTTTTCGAAGAAGCACTCTAGTGCTCATACCCTAAACCCTGAGCCTATAAGCCCTGAAGCCTAAACCCTGGCCTGGGCCATCAACTATGCAGGGGTAGGTTTGAACGTATCTTTATTACCCAATGAAAAACAAGCCTTGGAGGGCCCCAAGCCAACCCTAGCATAGCCTGGAGCCCTCTGATTGAAGACACAGTCGCGGAAGTTGATTTTGACTCTGTTGCGCAGCTGGTGTGAAGGCTCCGACTTTGTGGCGACTTTTCAGGGAGACACCTGCAGGAAGTTCAGCTTCACTGGTTGCTGGGCTTTGCTTCGATAAGTAGAATACTGGGAAATCAAACGGAGAACCTAGGTTCACAAAGGGTCTTAAGGGGATAATCATGGCACGTAGAAGACAAACTAGAGTTGGCTGATGTAAATTCGAGTAGTGGTTTTTATTCGGGGGGTACGTACTAAGGTTATCAAAATAGAGTAGGATTGTATCCTCCTTCGAGGTATAGTACTTTATATAGACAATTTAATCTTATTTGGTTCAACCACCAAAAAAGCACGACTCACTTGTCCTCGAGTGGTTGGCAAGGTATGGCATCGTACAACAGCCTGCCCTACGATTAGCTCAATCCCTCATAGTGCTCAGCACGGAAAAGACGCTCAAACTGATAAATACCTCTTAGGTGCCACGCCAAGGTCGATTATCAGGTAGAACTTGATTTCTTGCACAGCTAGGTTCTTGTTTAGTTCTGTCATTTTTTTCCAGGGTACACAGCCTAAACCCTAAACCCCACCCCGTAGTCCAAGGGCTCACCCCATTCGTTCAAGGTGCGCCCTAATAGCTCATGGTGTAGGGTTTGGGGTTTGCCACCACACTGCACAAAGGGACAAACAACTAACGGACCTCCAGGCATAATACCCACATTTAACCTACATCAGAGAGCTCTATGTGAAAGAGGGCCGGACATAATGAAGCAGCCTTCAAGAAACCTCAAGGCATAATACTTACAGCATACTGTTACGAGTCCCATTATCAAAAGGACATCACCACAGGGGACCTTAAGGCGCAATGCTTGCATCATACAATTACTGAGTCACGGTCATCGGCTTCAGGGTTTAAGGTGTAATTAGGTTTGGGGTGTCCTGCAAGAGCCGCAAGTTTTGGGTTTCAAAAATTCGCGAAGCCAATAGCTTCAGAGCTTGAAAAGCTTCTGTCCTTTCGCGAAGCAAGTAAGGCGGGCCCCCGATTAGTTGTAGTAGTAGCAGCAGCATTATTTGTTGCAAGAGGATTGAAATCTACAGGTACGGTAACTTGAGAACTGAAGCCATGCCTTTAGATTGTGCGACTAGTAGGCTAAGCTGTACAACATGCGGAAGCCCTCCCCTTAGCATTCACACGCTGGAATAGGAGCCTTCCTCAATTCATCCCAAATATTGTGGGGATGGACTTGAAATCCTTGATGGTACCCTGAAACCTAAACCCCATGTACGAAACCGCCGAAAATGGCCTTATTTCACGCTTTGGAAGGTTTTGACCTTGGTCGTCTCCTAACCCTGGGTCAGCAACGCTCTACCTGTGTTCTTTGGATGCCAGGGTACATAGGTCTATGGAGTTATAAGGGTTACATCGGGTTCAGGTCCTAGAACTGAGGTGGAAAACAGACTGGAAACTACCGTGAGCGAGTATTTTCAAAACGGCGCTATAATGCCCAATATGCGAAAAGATCATGTTCTCCCACGCCTGGCTCGTAACATGTCCTAAGCAGATCAAGGCAGTTTCCATAAATAGCAGGGCTCCACTATAGAGCCCAGTGTAGCTGAGCCCAAAACTCTAAACCCTAAAGCCCTAAAACCTAAACCCTCTGTCGGGATTCCAGACATGGTGCCCGTAGTTTTGTGAAACCTTATTAATCCCTAATCCCTAAACCCTAAATTCTCTCATATACCTTACACATAATTCCTAAACCCTAATAACCCCTAATCCCTAAACCCTGAACCCTAATCCCTGAACCCTATATGCCCTCAATGGTACCCCTAAAGAAACATGACTCAACCCAGGTCGTGATGGCTACGCCATCAAGTCTGCCCACTGCCCTCGTGGATTTAAAGAGAAAGGGACACGAGCTCAGCTTCTTTGGGGTTTAGGGTTTAGGGTTTAGGATTCTTGGGCTGGGTTTGGGGTTTAGGTTTAGGGTTTAGGGTTTGGGGTTTTCAGGGTGTGTCTCCTCATAGGTACCAGCAGAGGCTATCAGACCTTCTGCGCCCCTCCATTCGAGCCTTTTTTGGTGTCCCAAAATAGGGTCTATCGGCCGAGTTGAAAACTTACCCTAGACCGTGGCCAACATTTCATGGGGTCTGATATTAGCCCTCGGCTCATCTTACGGTGGATTGGGGTCCCACAACACTTTCAGAGCCTCCTCCATACTCCCTTAATTTCTCGGGTAATCTAGGTTCTAGGTTTTAGGGGATGCACTCTGTAATTTTTGAGTCTTCAGAAGTAGCATGTTTAATACTCTGCTTCGCATGGGTCATTAGTTGTTTTGTTTTGGCTGGCAGAGCACTGCAGGCATCCTGGGATTGGCAGTGCAGCTTCACAAGATGTGAATGCATGATGTTGCGGTAGGAGTCTGATGTGAGGTCAGATGGGCGCAGATTGGCTTAGAGTGCTTCTAGAGGCCCCTATTTTGAGAGCCCCAAAGTTAGCCCCTAAATCCTAAACCCTAAATTCCTAAACCTAAATCCCTGCACCCTAAATCCTTGAGTCCCTAAATCCCTAAATCCACCTACCATCCCAGGCAAAGGTCAACGCCCATTGTTGCGTTTGGCGGCAACGGGATGAACATGTACGACGTGTTGCTGAGCTTCTTTCCTCGGTTTAGGGTTTTGGGGCCACCTTCCTTGTTGTTATTACCACTATCGTTATTCTTATTATGATTATTGCTATTTCTATGCTCATTGCTAGTATTACTGCTATCATGACACTCATTTTCGTTCTAACTACTATGATTATTGCAACTCTTATTGTATGTTTTACTGTTATTGTTGTTTTGCTGAGCATTTTGCTTTGAGTAGATCCTGCTTGTGAGGTTAGAGTCTAAGGGGTGCGCAACAGGATTGTCCCAGAAGCTTCGGAAGTTAATCGAACTTTAGGGTGTGGGGACTTAGGAAGAAGGGATTTAGGGTTTAGGGTTTGGAAACTACCTTAGTAGTGGTGGTGGGGCCTGGTGTTGGATATTCGCCTGCCTCGCGCACTTGAGTGCTGCTGCTTTTCTTGTTGCTGGCATGTGGCTGTTTCGTCCTTGAACCCAAACCCCAAACTCTAAACCCTAAACCCTAAGCCTTAAACCCTACGGCCTAAACCCTAAACCCTAAGCCCTAAACCCTTCGCCCCAAACCCTAAGCCCTAAACCCTTAGCCCCAAACCCTAAGCCCCAAACCCTAAGCCCCAAACCCAAGCCCTAAACCCTGAGCCCTAAACCCTAAATCACGTGGATTTGGGACTGTGGCTTGGGGTCGGGTTTAATTAGGGATTTAGGGTTCAGAGTTTAATTAGGCGTTTAAGGTTTAGGGTGTTGGGCTTTAGGGAGCTAGGGTTTAGGGTTTAGGGGGTACTGCAGGGCCACAACAACCCCAAAGCCAAGCCTCAGGGTCTTTTGCGATTTTCTGTGAGGGAGAAAGCCCCGCTTAGAATATCTAGCTAGGGTTTAGGATTTAAGGTTCAGTTGAGGCAGCTAGGCTGCCCCAAACCCTAAGCCCCAAAACCATAAACCCCAAACCTCAAACCCTGAGCCCCAAACCGCAAGCCCCAATCCCTAAGCCGCAAACCCCAAATCCAAACCTCAAACCGCAAAGTCTGAACCCCAACATCCCAGGCATGGACAGCGTCATCCCGTTCTTTGATCATTCTTGGGATGCTCCGGTGCTTTTAGTGGGGATATATGGGAACAGGGTTTAAGGAGCTATAGCCCTGAAGCCATATGCCTTAAGCCCGGGGATACATAGTGGCTACCTTCCCTGAAGCCATAGGCCTTAAGCTTGAAATTATAGACTTCATCTCCGCAGGTTTAGATCGGAAGTCTTTCCTCTGTTGCCGAGAACAGCACCGGACGACACTTCAATTTGTAAAGGTCCTTGCAATGTATATAGTCTCCCTTAAGCAGACATAATATGGTTTTGGGTATGTTATAATAAGATCCCCATATACTCCATATTCTATCTACTTAAGGGCTACCTTAAACCCTAAACCCTATATTCTATCTACTCAAGACAGAAGGAGAGAGCGAGAGAGAGTGGGAGGGAGGCCTATCCCTGGAACTACAGGTTTAGGGTTTAGGTTTTAGGCTGCATTAACTTGTGATTCTGGATGCAAAGGTCACCCTAAGGGACCAGGGACCCTAATAATAGGGCTTTAGGGCCCAACTGCCATCAATGTTATACTATTTGGACCCTATTGTTTGTGTCCTTGGACCCTTAGGGTTCGAAGACCAGGGTCAAAACCGTGAGGCCCATCCTGAGCCCTAAATGAGTTGGTGCTTGAGATGGGTCCGCAAGGGAGGCTTCTAAACCAAAATAGTGCCAAACTACTGATTACCAGGAGATATCTTGCAGACAGCTGAGAGACTTAAGGCTTTGCAATTTATGAACTCTATTGCTTTCTACAAGTTCGAGGAGGTTTAGAGAGCTTCAGTGCAGGCAACACAGTAGTCCTGAAGCCCATGGACCGCAGGTTTATTCCTGCCCGTTTTTGACAACAAGGTCTCCCTTTCTGAGGGCCCTTAGAACAGAGATGATCGTACATCAAGGTGTGTGTAGTGGCAGTCCAGCTCAGGAGAGTAGTATTTTATTTGGGGATACTATGGTACCCATTATAGAGAAAGACGATATCCTCCTTTTGGGGTCAGGAATATTATCTTACTGGGTAAAAGCGCTACTCAGGACATGTTTTCAATTTCATTCCCTGGCGCGCAGTATGCACCAAGCACTGGGTGGACGACTCAAGAGAGAGCCTTGCGTGAGGCAGGTCACAAACAACTGATTACCTCAACCCGCACAGGAGGCAAAACACTGACCCAAAAACCCTAAAGCCTCAATATAGTCCTTACATAACCCTGCAAACCCTATATACTCCAGCATAATCCTTAACCCCATTATCTTACTTGCTTTAGAAGTTTAGGTAGGGCACGGTTCAGAGTTTGAGCTTGATGCATTTTGAAGATGGTTTGGGCACGACGGGCTTGAACTGTGCGAATTTTTCAAAGTTCCAAGAAGTTCTTGCGTAGCTCAAATAATTACCCATATTTTGGTCCTAACTTCAAAATCACATTGGTAGTTACTTAGGGCCCTACAGTATGCAACCCAAACCCTAAATGAGCCATTGTCTGAACTCCCTATAATCGTCCCCTATGGCCCTATATAGTCCCCTCTGTAACGTAACCCCACTTCAAGAAGTTTAAACTATAGCTCATACATCCCTTCACTGTATATCCCTTGTACCCCTCCATATCCTAAACCCTAAGCCCCAAACCCTAAACCCCTAAACCTTAAGCCACTAAAACCCTAAATCCTATAAACCCTAAACCTTAAATCCTAAACGCTACTCCTAAATCCCGAAATGATTGCCTGCAAATATCATGCGAGCTATAGTCTAAACTCCTAGCATCCCCCTGATAGTAGTACCCCTATAGAATTCCCTACAAAACCCCCTTCAAGGAGTTTAGACCCTAAACCCTAACCCCATATACTATATTCCCCTGTATAACCCCCCCTTCAAGGAGTGTAGTTTCTGGCTCATGTTGAGACTTTAGAGCTCGGGCACGGCGGGTCAGTTGCACGCTTCAGCCAGGAAGTTCTGAGTCGCAGGGCTTAGGGATTATCGGCTTAGGATTAAGGGTTTAGGGTTTATAGGGTTTGGGTTGCAGGGATCGAGAGTTTATAGGGTTAGGGATTAAGGGTGTAGGGATTAAGGATTTAGGGTTTAAGGATTAACGGTTTAGGGTTTACAGGGCCTAGGGGGTTGCATCATTCGTGGTATCGGTGCCGGAGGAGGGTGCAAGAATGGCCTGAACTTTCGCAGTCACCGGCAAATGCAAGATTCAGTTTCAAAATGTTTCTCAGGCAGCAAGGGATTGTTGACCTTGTCAGTGCCCTCGAATCATATCTGAAGCTGTTCCTCTAGAGATGCTGGGGGCTACTTAAATGGCCAAGTGGGGTTGAAACGTTTTACCCTAAGCCACTTACCCATAACCTCCAGTCCTACACCCCATAGCCTCAATGATGTAACAGCTTGTCTTTTTTGCATCCCTAGTGCATGTCCGCCTAAACCCTATAAATCTCTAGATAGTCCCCCTTACGTAGATAGAACATGGTTTTGGGTATATTATAGTAGGATCCCTGTATACCCCATATTTTATCTACCTAAGGGGGACTATAGATCCCTATGTCCCCTTGAAGGGGATGGCGGTCATAGAGTTCTGACAAGTTATTTATCTGAAGCCATGGTCGAGTTGCTGCGCGGTTAGCGTTTAGGGTTTACGGTTCAGGGTTTAGGGTTTAGAGAACAAGCAGTGGCGCCACTAGACCATCTAACGAAGGGTTTGAGGATCTAGGAATCACCTTGCGTCTTTGAACTTTGTAACATAATGGCTCTTAGTAGGAAATATGGGAACATAGTATATGAGGATTATGATATACGGATTGTATTCCCTTATTCCCTACTAAGAGCCAGTAAGACAAGTCTTAACCCCTGACGTAACTTTGCACCCCGAGATGAAGGAGCATTTGAAGGGTCATATGCTGGTTTCCCTACATAGGGGCCCCCATGTAGACCCCAATATATTAAATCCTTATTATGGGGATATCCTAATTTCGGGAAAACTCCAGATGCACTTTTCATTGTCATGAAAACTTCCGAGAGGCCTCCTATCCAAGACCCAAACTACAAGCGACCCCTAAACTCCCCGACCCTAAAAGCCTGCACCAAACTGACTCAAGTCATGATCACATCTCGAATGCGCCATGAAATCCTTGGAGCATACACTTTCATTCCAGAGTGACTTCAGAAGTTCAGAAGCCTTTGCCACTACGATGGTCCTAGAGTCCTTGTTTCGTTCTGGCATTTTGTACCAAAAGTAGGGGTTAACATGATATTGGATTCTTTAGGCTCCAACATTACACCCCACCCTTGAAAGGCAGAAGATCTCTTGCACTATGTGCACAATCGCACGGGGACTCCTGTCGCACTTCGACTCAATGACAGTGTCTGAGGATCGATCGGTTGCTTGAGGGGTCCCCTTAGAACCTGTATATAAGCATAGCATAGTATACCCGAAGCCCCATGGCCGGTATTGAGGCCCCTGCAATAGAGGCTGACACATGTGTAGAGCAGCGGACCATGTGCTCAACAGAACTGATCGCTGTCCGAATTCAGCAGGTCACAGCTTCATTGCTAGTTGCATTCCCTCAACCCTAAACCCTTTTTCTCTGAAACAAAACCCATAGAACTTAGGATCCCTTAGGATGTAGGGCATCCTTACTGGGTGGGCCTACACCCCAAGCCTCGGCCAAACCCCTCAACGCCAGGACACATTTTCCCCCAACCTCACATGGGTTATTCTCAAGACTATGACCCCTTTTGGGTAATAGATCATGTTACGGCACCTAGTATTATACTGGGTAGCAAAATGGGATTCCAATTTTGGGAACTACCCGCATCTTACTGAGCAAGTCGTAGCCAGTTCAAACGAGTACGCATGAGTACGCCCTTTGTACTTACCACGGGCAATCCACCTAACGTGGCCGTAATGCAGGCTTGGGTGCCACACCTCAGCCTAAACTTTACACCCTAAATCCTAAACCCTGGGA